TGAGCAGGCATCACAGTAGCTACAAGGGGGGAAGAAATACCTGGGTCTGTCTGAAGGATCAGGGAGCCTCCTTGTGAGGCACCAATAAATCTAATCACTCTGTAGTTACTGAATACCAGGCACCAGGAGAGATGTCAAAACTTGGTCAGGCATGATTAGTGTTAGGAGTCCAGGGTGCCTGAAACTTAGCACTTGTTTTTTCTCTTCTCCAGGATGCTGGAAAATGGAAAATACATCCAAAGATGACTGGTCACTAGATGAATGGGGCACAGAATTTATTAATCTGTGCAAGCAAACTTTGCCTCCATGGAGGGTGCTCTGGCAAACTACTGCAGAAAATTCCAGATCTCCTAGACTTCAGGACCTGCAGGCTCAGGTATGCCTGCCAAGGTATAACTGGTCCAGCACACAGGGTCCCTTACACACCCAGCTGCAAGTGAACAAAGAGAAAGCATGGAGGGAGGGTGGGTGGAAACTGGGGCTGGGGAGGAAATGGGAGTGATGTGTGAGGTACTGCCCCGGTGTTCTTACTGGATGGGAACAAAATATACCAGAGAGCAAGAGGACATGCCAGGTAAGGAGAGTGAGCTGTTAAGACAGTGATCTTGTTCCTTGGTGAACCAGGGGCTGTTGTCATGCATCACCTATGACAATGAGGGAATCTGGGGAAAAGAGGGAGAGATATAAATTCCGCTCTTTTACAATAGATAGTGAAAGGGAAATATCGAAGGGTGATGTCTGTATATGTATAAGAAAGATAGCCTGAGATGTAATTGGCCCATTTGTGTGCACAAAAGCAAAACAGAGGGACACTGCTCCAAAGGGAAAAATAATTAGGGCACAGAATGCCTCATACTGACCACCAGGTGGCACTACAGACCAAACACAGCTTGGTTGTTGGTCAAGTCTGGGGTAGTGTAAGTTGGGTATCAAAATGCAGAGTGGCCAGACAGGCCATCTCAGCACTTTGGGAGGCTAAGGTGGGAGGATCGCTTGAGGCCAAGGGTGTGAGACCAGTCTGGGCATCATAGTGAGACTGTGTCTCCAAGACTTTCTCGCTACAAAATAAATAAATTTTTGATAGAATGAAAAGATCCAGAGTGCTTACAATGGAATACTGTTCACCCATAAAAAAGAAGAGAAATTCCCATGTATGCTACAATATCAAAGAATCTTAAAGACATTATGTTAAGACCGGGCATGATGGCTCATGCCTGTAATCCCAGCACTTTGGTAGGCCGAGGAGGGCGGATCACGAGGTCAGGAGATCAAGACCATCCTGGCTAACATGGTGAAACCCCGTCTCTACTAAAAATACAGAAAAAAAAATTAGCCAGGCGTGGTGGCAAGCGCCTGTAGTCCCAGCTACTTGGGAGGCTGAGGCAGGAGAATGGCATGAACCCAGGAGGTGGAACTTGCAGTGAGCTGAGATTGCGCCACTGCAGTCCAGCCTGGGTGACAGAGCGAGACTCTGTCTCAAAAAAAAAAAAAAAAAAAAAAAAAAAGACAACTTCAGTGAAATAAGCCAGGCACAAAATAACAAATATTGTATGATTCAACTAACATGAGGTACTTACAATAGTCAAATTCATAGAGAAAGTAGAATGGTGGTTGCCAGGGACTGGAGGAAGGGGGAGTGGGGAGCAGTCACTTAATGGGTATGGAGTTTCAGTTGGGGAAGATGAAACACTTCTGGAGATAGAGGATGGTGATGGTTGCACAATAATGTACTTAACAATGGGTAAGATGATTTTGTTATTTTACCACGATTTTAAACATAAAAACAAAACAGAGTGCCCATAATGTTCTCTTGTACCAAGTGGTGGATGCACCTTCTAAAACAGGTAAGAGAGGAGGTAAAAGATGTTTCCCCAATCCTGCCTGTCTCAGCCTGTCAGTTCCACTTGTCCTGCCCAAATCCTCAGTTCTCTTTGTACTGTGTTCACTTACTTTTCATCAAATGCCTATTCAGTGTAGGCCTTGAGCCAGTACTGAGAATGCATTCTCTAGGGGCCAGGCCATTTACCAGCTCTCTCTCATCCACTCCATTTACCTTCCTCCAGCCAATCCCCAGTCCACACATTTTCCACTTTCTTCTCTCACTCAACATCCATTAAAAAAAAAAAAAATACTATCTTAGTCCATTTGAGCTGCTATAACAAAATACCTTAGACTTGGTAATTTATAACTAACAGAAATTTATTGCTTACAGTTCTAGAGTTGGGAAGTACAAGATCAAGGCCCCAGCAAGGGCCCATTCCTCATAGATGATGCATCCCTTATGCTGCTGTATCCTCCCATGATGGAAGGGCAAAAGAGGCGAACAGCTCTCTCACACCTCTTTTATAAGGCCACTAACCCCATTCAAGAGGGCTCCACCTCATGACTTAACCACCTCCCAAAGGCTCACCTTGTAATACTGTCACACTGGTGGTTAAGTTTCAACATATGAATTTGGGGGTCAGATCATAGCAAATACTTTTGATTTATATTTATTTTAATTTTAAGAGAGGGTTAGAAGGGGTAATAGGTGGAGTTTTCTACAGAAAAAGCCATTGCTTGAGTGACAAACAACAGCAACAGCAACAAACAACCCTCAAATCTCTGTGACTTAACACACCAATAGTTCACTGTGTGCTCACATTACATGTCCACTACAGATCAAGAGGGTCTGCTCCACGTGGTCACCTAGGCTTACAGAGGCTCCACCAACTAGAATGCAGTCTCCATGGTACTTACAGGAGGGTAAGAGAGTGGAGAATTACAGATTGGCTTTTCATTGTCTCAGCCTGGAAGTAACCTACATAGCTTCCCCTTACATTTCATTGGTCAGAAAGAATCACATGGCCCTGCCTACCTGCAAATACTGTATCTGTGAAGCCCAATTATCTTTGCTATAGGTTTTTCACTCTGTGCTCTCACTGAACCAATAGTGAAATTGTGACTGTTTCTTGTGAATCTACTCCCCTCCCTGGACTCTAATCTTTAAGAGAGGAGGCCTCATATTACATATTATGTTAACTTCGGTGCCTAGCACAAGACTGGTGCCCAGTGATTGTGGAGTGAATGAACAATGGGACAAAGTAAAGGTGAACCTAAAGAAAGGTGAAGGCAGTGCCTGGGAGGATCAGTTTAGAAGGAGTTTCCCTATCTGAAAAATGAAGCAGGGAAGGTCAAGAACACAATGCTATCAGTTTTAAAAATGAAACCAAACCTCACTGAATAGAGTGGACAGTCTGTGTGTAACACAACTCATTGTTGGGGTGGGTTTCCATCAACAACAAAACAGACTGCATATGTAGAAGAAAGGGAAAATAGGACCCCCAGGGGCACTAAGTGGCTTTGGAAAAAAAAAAAAAATCCCCTGATATTAGAGCAGCCTCATGAAGAAACTAGGCACAGAAGAATCTGACTTCCCTCTCATAAATTTTTGGAGCTAAGAGGGACTAACATGCAATTCCTGGGTCATCATGGAAAAACCTTGACTTATCCAACTGTTTTTGGTTTTTTTTTCTCTTGTAGAAGAAAGGAATTAATCCTACAGAATTGCTTCCTATTTCAAGTCAGTTTTATTGACCTCGCTTTGCAAAATAAGTGGGTTCATCTGGATTCTAAAGATATTTAAGGATACTTTACGTTATAAGTAGGATGCCTATCCATCCAGGTTTGAACCTGCTGTTCATGGTTAATTTATTAATAGTATGTCTCACAGTTCATTCACAGAAATGCTTGGATATGGCCGATAAATTGAAACATCATTCTAGTTAAAAGTAACATTTTTAACTGACTGGAGAAAAGTGACTTGGAGTTCTAGGAAGGGACAGAGAACAAACATTTACGTTGGCTCAGCACGCCCAGCCTGTATTGGGCTGGGCACCTTAGCGTACCTGTTTCAGGACTGCGATACTGGCGTTTTGCTGGGAGTAGCCCAGGTGTTTTAACCACTTCCTGAAAAACAAGGTCCGGTAAAAAGAGGCTGGGAGTAGGCGTGGGCTCCTGTCCCTGCCATATGCTGTCTTCCTGATCTTGGGAAGTCATTTCAAGCACCTAATCATCAGTTTCCTTATCTGTGAAACTGGAGTAATAACGTTTCCCTCCAAACGCTGTCTTATTTAATTCATTTAACAGCAGCCACTATTATTCCATTATACAGACGAATAAATAGACGTTATGAGGGGGCAAACTGCGATGATCAAGGCTCATAATTCTAATAGCTACTGTTTAGGAGCCAAGTACTCAAGCAGCCTGTGCACAGTCTCTAATTTCTAGAAGAGAAGGCGGATACTTGGAGAGATAACTTGAACAAGGTCATGGAACTCATAAATGGCTTGAGAAAGGCTGATCCTCGGAAGTCTGGTTCAGAGCCCGCGCTCTCACTGCATAAGGCATATTTCAAGGGAGGAACGGGCAAGCATCTAGCCCTACTCTTGGGACTCCACATCCAGTGCTCTTTTCCTCTTTTCGTTACACTGCACTGCTGGTCAGAAACCCATCGCGGAAGCGGATCAAACACAACAAAGGGCAGGGGGCGTTGGAAAAACTGGCGAAGTCGCGCAGACCGAGATGACCCGCCGGCCCCAACAAATCACCAGTGGCCAGTATCGAGTGTCCTCCTGCCTTCAGCCCGGAGGCCAGGTCACCTTTTAGAATTCCTCTCTTGGCGGGGAGGAAGCCCCCTGGTCCGGCTAAGAGCTTACGTAATGCCCGCGGGCGGCTGCGCCCCGGTCTCCCATGGGTGTGCGCAGAGCCCCCGGCCCGGGGCAGGCCTTCCCCTGTCCGCTTCCCCAGCCTCTTGGCCCACGACCATGGGGGGGGGTCCGTGACCACCGGCCCCACGCCGGTGGCGTCCGCGTTGGGCGGCGGCGTCCCCCGCAGCCACCCAGCTTCCCGGGGGAGGAGCAGCGCATCGCGCAAGCATCCGGGAGCGGCGGAGGGGGCGGGAGGAAGGACGAGAGGAGGAAGCGGGATTTAAACGAAAGGCGGTGACGCCACACAAAAGATTTCTATAGGCTCCAGGGAGGTTACGGCCGAGGCGGCGGCGGCGAGCCCGGGGGCGAGGCGCGGACGGGAAGAGGAAAAGCCTCCGGCAGACCCTGCGGGCGGCGGCACAGCCACGGCCGCGCTCCGAGGTGAAGCCGCGCGCGGAGAGGAAGCGGGTGTTTTTCCCTCTGCCTTTCGGCCCCCGCCCTTCCTTTCAGTTTCTCCCCGCTCGCTCGGAAGTTGGCGGTTGACAAAAATGGCAGGAGCCGGGGCCCGGGCCGGTTGCCGCAGCGCCGCGGGGACCTTCTGAGTTGGCCCGGTCACAGGGAGACTCGTGCAGGGGCGTCCGATGCGCGGGGCCCGGGGTCTTGGGAGAGCTCAGCCGCTGCGGGCCCCAGACGAGGAGGCGACAGGGATGGACTCGCGTCGACAGCCAGCGGCGGGCCGCCGGGCGCGCGGTTTGGGAGGGCGTGCCGCCGCGGCGCCGGGCCGCGCGCTGTGAACCGGCGAGGCGGGAAGGGGCCGCAGCGGCGCTCGGCACGCCCGGGCGTGGCGGGCGGGCGAGAGCTTGAGCGCGATCCGGGCGGCCGCTGTGCGCAATCAGTGCAGGCTCCCGCCCGGCTCTGACTCGGCGCGGCAGCGACAGCGCGGGCCACACCCTCTGCCCTGCTGCCGCCGGCGCCGCTTCCCGAGAGCGGGAGGCAGGAGATGCGCCCGGGGCGGCCGCGCGTCTCGGAGAGCCAGCCCCGGCCGCCGTCGCGGGGAAGTGCCGCCTGGCGGGGTCACGGCGCCTGAAGCCCACGTGCGCCGCCAAGCCCGAGGTGGCCTCGAGCGCGGCGGCTGACAGCAGAGTCTGCCTGTGCTGCCTCCCGCGCTCCTCCCCGAGGAAAGGATTTTGATTTCAAAGAAAGGAAGGAAGGACAACTCCCAGCTTCCCCGTCCCGCCCTCACCTCTCCGAGGGCCGGGCCAGGCCATGCCCAGGAAGGCGGCGGCGGCGAACCAGCAGAAGGGACTTTCCTGGCCTCCCGGAGACAAGGAGCGCGGACAGTGAGTTTGCTCTGCTGCGGTTCATGGTTCCTGCAAGCCCTCTAGGAGGCCGAAAGCTGCAGCCCCTCCCCTTGCCCCGAAGAGCCTTCCGCGTTCTCTGGCCCTCGGGCCCACCCTGCGCCGCCCGGGCTCCCGCCGCCGCAGCCCAGTGCCTTCTGCCCGCGGCGGTGGATGGCATGATGGTGCGAGGAAGGCACCGCGGCCTTGGCCAGCTGAGTCGCGACGGCCGCCGGGGCGGCGGCAGTGGCCGCGGCAGCGGCGGTGGTAGCGGGGTCCCCAGCGGCATGCCAGTGCCCCCTGGGCGCGATGGCTAGCGGCAGCGCCGGGAAGCCCACTGGCGAGGCGGCTTCTCCGGCTCCTGCGACCGCCATCGGCGGGACCAGCTCGCAGCCGCGGAAGAGGCTGGTATCCGTCTGCGATCACTGCAAGGGCAAGATGCAGCTGGTAGCCGACCTGCTGCTGCTGTCGAGCGAGGCGCGGCCAGTGCTCTTCGAGGGCCCTGCCTCCTCTGGTGCCGGCGCCGAGTCCTTCGAGCAGTGCCGGGACACCATCATCGCGCGCACCAAGGGGCTCTCCATCCTCACCCACGACGTGCAGAGCCAGCTCAACATGGGCCGCTTCGGGGAGGCGGGGGACAGCCTGGTGGAGCTGGGCGACTTGGTGGTGTCGCTGACCGAGTGCTCGGCCCACGCGGCCTATCTGGCGGCTGTGGCCACGCCGGGCGCCCAGCCGGCGCAGCCGGGCCTGGTGGACCGCTACCGCGTGACGCGCTGCCGCCATGAGGTGGAGCAGGGTTGCGCCGTGCTGCGCGCCACGCCGCTGGCCGACATGACGCCGCAGCTGCTGCTGGAGGTGTCGCAGGGCCTGTCGCGCAACCTCAAGTTCCTGACGGACGCGTGCGCCCTGGCCAGTGACAAGTCACGGGACCGCTTTTCGCGGGAGCAGTTCAAGCTGGGCGTCAAGTGCATGAGCACCAGCGCGTCGGCGCTCCTGGCCTGCGTGCGCGAGGTGAAGGTGGCGCCCAGTGAGCTGGCGCGGAGCCGCTGCGCGCTCTTCAGCGGGCCCCTGGTGCAGGCAGTCAGCGCCCTAGTAGGCTTCGCCACCGAGCCGCAGTTCCTGGGTCGCGCGGCAGCTGTGAGCGCCGAGGGCAAGGCGGTGCAGACCGCCATCCTGGGCGGCGCCATGAGCGTGGTGTCGGCCTGCGTGCTCCTGACCCAGTGCCTCAGGGATCTGGCGCAGCACCCCGACGGGGGCGCCAAGATGTCGGACCACAGGGAGAGGCTGAGGAACTCGGCCTGCGCCGTGTCTGAAGGCTGCACCCTGCTATCTCAGGCTTTAAGGGAGAGGTCTTCGCCCAGGACTTTACCGCCAGTGAATTCCAATTCTGTGAATTAGCACCCCACCCCCATACCCCTTCTTCCACCCCCAGACTAAAGGAAGATACTTACTCTGCCCCTCACCATTTATACCAAAGAAATCATAGGTGAAACCCCCTACCCTCCCCAACATTAAATGCTCGAGAGGAATCTTAAGGCAGGGCCATGCACACAACCTGCACACGCACTTGGAGGGCCCAGGTGTCTGTCCACCAGGCCCCACGCAGTAGGGACTGGAAGATGGAAGATGTGTCATTTGCTGGTTGCGTTATCACTCCCGCCCCCTACCCCAGCCTGTCTTCCGGAAGTTCTCAACTAAATTTGATTATTGGGCAGGAAGGAGGTCATGGGTTCATTTCATTTTTTTGTGTTTTTAATTAAAAGAAAGGTTACCTCAGTTTTCACTCCTTAGACATGGATGTAGCTACCTTTTTTGTATGTCTTTTTTTTTTTTTTTTTTAAGCAATCGTGTTGAATTAGGAATATACTTAGTGTGGAAAGGGTATGAATTTGCCATGTGATTTGCAAATGGGGGAAGCTACTGTGAGTGTGTGTTTTTTTAATTTACACTATAGAGTGATTTTTCCCCCCAACGTCAAGTTTTTACCTTGCATGTACTGGAGTATTTATTTCATCTATTAAAATGTTATGTTTCTCAGATGGCTTTTTGCAATTATTGTTGATTTTTCAATAATTGTAATTTTGCATGCTGTGTATCATGTATGGGAAGGTTCTGTGGGAAGGCTATTTCAATAGTAGTGAGGCAGGCCCCCAGTTCCCAAGCCTTTCTACTTTTTCCTCAAGAAAAAGTACTGCTCAAGAAGTACTCGCTTGAGCAGCCTAGAACGGAAGAGATGACTATGCATAACATTCTATTTTCAAAGGCAGGTGACACAAATGGGGTTGGGTTATGTAGAGTGCTTGGGACGGTTTTGTCTCATTTTTCCTGGAAAGTGATTTAGCTCCCTTTGTCTCCACTTATCTTTCCATCATGAATAGTGGCTCAGGCTGCTTGAATTCTGATTTGTATTCTGCCTATCATTTTTAGATTAAAGCACTTCCTAATCCTGTGTGGTATGCCAGCCTTCTCAACTCAGAGTCTCTATGGATGGAACTGTAAAAGTACTGTATATCAAGTGAGAATAGTTAGCATCTTTTATGTACACTTGTACTATTCAGACAAGATCCTCATGGTTTCAGAAAAGATATAGAGAGGGTCCTAGACTGCTTAATAGAGGAAAGAAGTATCACGGAAAGCTTGTTAAGAACGTTCTAGAGCCACAACATAATTGTAGGCCAAGAGCTTATTTTTGTGACCTTGATCTAAGATAATGCCATGGTTGATTGTGTGTTGGAAGAATCTTTCATTGAAATTTGGAGTCATATTAAGGTAGTTTTTTTTTTTGTAGACATTTTTAGGAGTCTTTTTGTGTGAGTGGTGGTGGAGTGTGTAGTTTTGTTGAACCTAGTTAAATTCTGAATATCTTCCCACTAAAAGCACAACAAATCTATTTACAGTGCCTGAAGCCTGGGAGGGCCACATGAGTAAAAACTCGTACATGCTTTAGATTTGTTCCATTTACATTTTTCTTGGGATTTGTTGTGCTTAAAACTTTGCAGTTCTCACAGATCTGAAAAGAAAGCATTTTTTACTGTAATACATTAAGAGAGAGAACAAAGTCATGTTGACTTTTATTTGTTTGAATCGCTGTTTTTATTACAAGGACATGAAATGCAACGTGTAAAAGTCTTCAACCTGTGTTGGGTAAGGCTAGGACTGTTTCACTGCCCTGAATTTGAAATTTGAAAAAGTCTTAAAGTGGTAGGGTACTTACATTTTTGAAAAAATGACTATGGGAGCAGTTTTTCTCTCTTAAATCCTGGTAAATTTCGGGTTTTTGAAGGTTTTAAAAGATGAAAATGACCTTGAGCATCTTTATTCCTCTCGTCTGCCCTTTAATGTTGGGATGGGGTTCAGGATGAAAGGGAGGTGGGATTCTAATTCATGTGCCAGTGACAATCCTGCATGCATATAGAAATTTTTATTTGTTGAATGTACACAAGTAATGATAGAGTTTGATTATATGGTTGATTTTCATTTATCCTGTGCCGATCACAAAGAGTAAACTGAAAGGAACAAACGTTAAGTAAAATAAGGGCCAGGAATCTGTAAATTTGATATTAGATTAAGAAAAAAAGAATTGCCAATTTTTTTCCTGGACTCTTTCCTTGCAGAAGCAATTTTCAGGACAACTCAAGCCAGGAAAAAAATAAAAAATAAAAAAATAACTTTCCCTATCTGTTTGGATGAAGTTAGCTAGTCACTAAATGAATTTTGAAACCTCTTACCTAAATGATAGTTGCTCTTGGTGTTTCTGTATGTTCTACATTTGGTCATGTAACATGCATAATCTCTATCCTCTGAAGCTGATAAAAGTTCTAAACTTAAGTGTTTTCACCGCCCCTGCACCCCCCACCTCCCATTTATAAAATAAAGTTCAGGGCTTTTCTTCCAGCAGGTGTCTTGAAATGAATTCTGCTTGTATGTTTTTCCAGCAGATTTCTAGAAGCCAGAGTGAGGAATGCCAGGCAAGGGAATTGGGCACAGGTCTTTGATATTTTAACTTTTCTCTAATGTCCCAGGTTGCTAAACTTGTTTTTAAAATAGCCCCTGATGTTTAAAAAAAGCAGCATCTCAGACCTGTTTCATAACAGGGTTTAATAAGGTCAGCAGAGATACTGGTTCCAGGAATAAAATCAGAGTGGCCTGTTTTTTTTTGTTTGTTTTTTGTTTTTTTTTGTTTGCTTCTTAATTTTTAAACTACACTAGGGTTAACTTAAGACATTAATCCTTGGGTTCTTCTGACTCCTGAAGGCAAGTTTTCTTACACAGGCTTAATGCACATCATCTTGACCAGGGAATGTTGAGAATCTTCTCCCATTGAATGGTCATAAGAAAAGGAAATCATGATGGCTAAGTTCTTTAAAGAAAAGACATTATTTATGATAGTCAACTCAGTAAATGGAACAAAAACAGTCTTTCAAACATAAGACTTACCCAGAAAAAAGCACAACTCCGTCTTTCTTTGCCTGTTTTAAGCATAGCCTTTATTATCCATTCCGGGTGATGATAGGAAATACAAAAATTATGTGTTATGTGTATATTTGCCTTCTTCCGCACCCCCACCCCATCCTCATTTTTATAATTCTGGAAGCATCAGTTACATCTGGTTGGTTATTTTACACACACTTTTTTTTTTTTTTTTTTTTTTTTTTTTTTTTTGTGAGATGGAGTCTCGCGCTGTTGCCCAGGCTGGAGTGCAGTGGCGCGATCTTGGCTCACTGCAAGCTCCGCCTCACGGGTTCACACCATTCTCTTGCCTCAGCCTCTGGAGTAGCTGGGATTACAGGCGACCGCCACCACGCCCGACTAATTTTTTTCTGTGTGTGTGTGTGTGTGTATTTTTAGTAGAGACGGGGTTTCATTATGTTACCCAGGATGGGCTCTATCTCCTGACCTCGTGATCCACCCGCCTCGGCCTCCCAAAGTGCTGGGATTACAGGCGTGAGCCACCCCTCCCGGCCTTTTTTTTTTTTTTTTTTAAAGCTGGCATAGGGATCTAAAATATTTGGCAGTTTGGAACAGCTAATTTTAACAGAAACACCTGTTTTTTCGAATGAATGTGACTATGGTAACATGCAGATCAGGCAGAGGATTTGAGAAATGACTGCCAAAATTCTTTCTGAGCTTTGCTTAGTGAACATGGAAGGATTTGGAGAAGAAATCCTTAAAGATTTAGTTGCATTTTCACCTGGGGCTGTTCTCTGGGCTGCCTTTTGGTTTGCAGCAACTGGAAGAGGCTTTAAGGAGACCATCTCTGAGTTTCCAGTGTGGGCACAGGTATTTGTGTTCCTCCCTGGCAAATTCTTGTCTTTACTTAATTTTTTTTTTTTTTGGTAGGACTATGTGTGCAATTAATTGCTCCATTTTGACTAAACAGGGTTTTACTTTAGGGTTCTTTAGATAGGTGAGTTGTCTGCTTCGACTTCAGTGGCAGAGGGCTCTTAAGATTTAACTGTCCGGGTATTATAAGGAAAAAGTGTGATACTAGTGTCTATGATTGGGGTCAGTTTAATTTAACTGTGGACCCCTTAAGGTTAAGGGCTATAGTGCCGAGCATATGTGTAATTTTTTTTTCTTTTTTTTTAATGAATCTGCATATAAGATACTTGCAGCAAGTATACATAAGCAAGTAGTAAAATTGTTCCTGGAAATGAAAGTTATAATGGTCATTCATTGGGCAAATATTTACTGGGGACCAACTGTGTGTGCTACTAGACACTGCTGGTGCTGGTGTGCAGCTGTGAGTGAGATGTGGGGGAAGGCTGCTTTCTAGACTCAGTGCTAGACTCAGACCAACCTCAGCTTGGTCTGTGGACCCTCAGTGTCAGTCTCATCCTGGGCCCTACCTTCAACCTATTCCATCAGAAACTCTTGAGGTTTGACAATTTGTGTTTTATCAAGCCCTCCCAGTTGATATGGATGCATGCCCACTTTGGAGAACCACTGCCCTACAGGGGCTGTGGGTTTCTTTTTTATTCTCTGTCAGGTCTGAGTCTAGAGTAGTTCTCTATCAGGAGGCATCAGCATTTCTGCAAATTACTTGTTTGCTCAGGTGGTTTTGTTCTCCTGGATATTCTGAGACTAATTTCTCCAGATGGAGAAGATGTTATTTCTCCAGATAGAGAAGACAAGTTTTTCTCTTGTTAATTTGAAATCTTTGAGAATCCAGGTTTTTCTTTTGGAGAGGGGGATGTGATTACAAGTACAGGGTTCTTCCCTACCTCCCACCACCCTTTTGAGATGAACTGAAATCATGTAATAGTGAACTGGCAAAACAGCTTTCTATGTTTTTACATGTTGTTGACTCTTGTCCTGGAAAAGGGAATAGCAGACGGTCTAATTAAAATTCAGCCCTTTAGGTCTTTGGTTGCCCAAGAAAGAACACTTTGATACTGAGTTTGTAAAGTACTATATTCAGAATCAGATGTAGTATACAGACTTATTCCAAAGGTCCCTTTAAGTATAACCAAAGTCAGCAATGTACTCAGGAAATATACTCTCTAAGGCTGACCATGCGCCAGGAATTAGGATGATCCTTTAGAGTCTAATTCCTCAAAAGGGTGGCCCCAGAAGCTGGCATTGGTATCACCCAGGAACTTGGTAGATACACAGACTATTGGCTCGCCCTGGCCCAGACTTACCCAATTAGAGCCCTCTTTTTGACAGGTCCTCCCAGTGATTTCTGTCCCATAAATATTTGAGAAGCAGATAAAAGCAGTGGCCATGACTGAATCATAGTTTCATTGTTTACTGTGGGAACCTAGGCATTTATTATGTTTACTTAGATCTTTTTGGTTTATAAAGTGCTTTCATGTGTTTTATGTAATTGGGTCCTTAGTGCAATCTTGTGAGGTGGGCAGGTATTACCGTGGATGTCATCTAAACATTTGTGCCTTGCTTTTCCTATTGTAAAAATTAAATGAATTCACATGAAATGTAAGTCCTTGTGATGAGCTTTATAAGACTGGTACCTGCCAGGCATGGTTGCTCAGGCCTGTAATCCCAGCACTTTGAGAAGGTGAGATGGGTGGATTGC